AAACATTGCTAGCTTCTTTGTGCAGTGGTCTTTACTTCCTCTCATGTTTTTTGTTGAAAAGTATGTCCCTTTAGCAGAGGTCTGCAGACCACCATAAGGCCCGACAGCTCAAGCCCTCTGCTGACAACCATTTGACTTCTGGTCAAACAGGATGTTCCAGTTTTACATGCATTTCATTGTGAGTTAAAGCTAAATATACTCTATTTATCATAGACCTGAGTTAAAATTGGAAGAGCTAACAGCAGTTCTGCAGGATTCAGCTCAGTAGTGGCAGCTGTGGAGGGTTGCTTGATTAGCACGGAACATCTGAGAGCGTTAGATGTCACAGATTACAGTAAATAGGGTTTAGATTTCGATGAGACTGTGGGAGCGTAGTTGTGTGGTCACATACAAGCAGTTGGCATAGGACTACATTTGTAATGCTGTAATAGACAGATTTAGGTTGGAGTGGAGCTCAAACTAACACATTCTGTTTTTTTGAAAAGTAATTTTTAAAGTATTTGAGCAAGATTTATACTTTTTCTTTATTCAAACAACCAGGTAGCTGTTATATTACAACTAGATTTTGAAAAAAAAAATATTGAATAGCTTTTTTGCTGACTAATACTGCGACTGTGATTTTAAATTATAGTTATTTTCTATATGTTAAGGTCCAGGGCTTTTTTTGTCCAAGAACACCAGCAAATCCATTTTTTCTGGTTTGAGGGTTAAATGCTGAATGTACTGTACCAGACTGTCAGTTTAGTTGTGGTTGTGTTGTGATATACACAGCATGGCTGCTTGGTTGCTTCTTATTTTTGTGACTTATCCACAGGCAGTTTACAAGCTCCATGTTATTTGGTTAAATTTTCCACCTACAGATCTTAGATTTGTCTCTTGTTTTCTTTTTGAGGTCCACTCATAACGTTAATGTGCCAGAAACAAAATTAATTTGCCTACGTCAAAATATGTGCAGAATTAATTTTTACATGACCATTTTCCAACCTCTATTTATCCCTTAGAATGAGCAGACTGTTTTTTGTTAATATGCCAGATGTACTGTAAAACATTGAAGACCTGATGTAATGTTGCTGATCTCTGTTCTGATTGGCTGCCCTGTATTGTGCCTCATTCAAAGAGCTCATATATATATATATATATATATATATATATATATATATATATATATATATATATATATATATATGTGTGTGTGTGTGTGTGTGTGTAAATAAGTTTGTTCTCATGACAATCTGCACCATCTTTGCTACAGATGAAAATGTAAACTTTTTTTCCAGCGCCTCTCATTTGTGAATAAATAAATGGAAAGCAGCATTAGTACAAGCATTACAGCTTATAGGTGGGGTTAATTGTAACAGACTGAGGCAGCTGCTTGTAACAGTAGCTTAAATGTCTGGTAAATCAATGGCAAACAGTTTATATATATATATATATATATATATATATATGTGTGTGTGAATATATATATATATATATATATATATCTGTGTATATATATATATATATATATATATATAAAAACTAATACTTACTGCAGTGATGAGAATGATTCACCACCCAAATAATACCTGCTTTGTGGTGGTCCTGTGGGGGAGTATATACATACACACACACACACACACACACACACACACACACACACACACATACATACATACATAGATACATACATATATAGATACATATATGTATCTCTTTAATGCTAATCCAGGTAGATGTCGTCCCAAATTCCTGCATCAGCATCGACAGATAAGCACAAGAAACATACTGAGAAAAATCTGCCCAATAGCTGTAAAAATTGGCAGATGACGTTGCTATGGAAACACAAGATGATGACCAAAAGCACGTTCTACTTGAACCTGCTTAACTACATTAAATATCCATGTTACTTTTTAATGTTACCCTGTGTTTGCGCCCTGCTCTCCCCCTATAGGGTGAATACATGGGACAGTTAACTCGATAGTCACTCTTAACTATGAATAACTACAATATACTATTAGAGGATATTAATCATCTAGACCCTAAGAATCATATGTGGCCTCACACCTAGGCCCAATCCCATTTCTTCTCTTTACCCCTACCCTTTGTTTTCGAGTGTCACCCTAACCTCTTGGAAGTTACAAGGGGTAGTGGTTGAAATCTTGCCCTACGAAATGGGACAAAAAAAAAATAAAACACTGCTTCAATAACAGCTACTAGCGCTGCTCTGTAGGCGACCCGGCCCGTCTTCAGTGAAAGCAGAGAAGGGAAAAGTTCAGCTCCTCACTGCTGGGCTTTAGTTACATTTAGGGCATCATAGGCCTTCAAAGAGGGGGTATAAGGCAATTATTTATTATCACTCACCGAAGCTGAAATCAGCTATTGACTAGCTTCTTGTTCATATTTTTCCATTCCACCTTAAATGGTGTAGCAGTTACATTCTGGCGCTTCAGGCGTCAGAACTGCTGGACTATTTAAGGTGGAACGGGAAAGTTAGCTAGCTAGCTACCAAGATTTTCGCATACTGGTAGCGATTTTTTATGCCTGTTATGAAGAAAATGACCATAATACATTGAAACAACATTAAACTAAGAAAATATAGTGGTTATCATAATTTTTTAATGGAGAAAATTCTCACATTTGTGGGTTTCTTTGGTCTCTTGTTCAGCCATCTTGCCGGTTTTTCTTTTTGTTTCTCATAACTCTCTGTTTGGAGTCTCTAAAAACGTTTGGAGGGTCATCTAGCTCTAACACTTTGCCCCACCCCTCTATCTCAACAAAAATCAGGACACCCTACCCCTAGACGTGAACACGCAAAAGAGAGGGTTAAGGGCTAAGTGGTAGGGGCGAGGGGTTAAATAGGATTGGGCCTTAAATTCCTCACTCCTAATTACATAACTTGCACGTCAGTTTTATAGTAGTTACCAAATCTTTTCTTAAGAAGAATAACAGATATAAGCCTGTGGTTTAAGGGGTTAATGACGATGCCAGTCAGATATCTGTTTACAGCATCTGTCAGTCTTTGCGGTTGTGAAGATATTTATGCCTTTTTTTTGTCCTCCTTTATTAGCATCCCACGTTAAACATATCTGAAGCGGCTTCTGCGAACAAAGGAAAGGAAATGTGAGTGGGCCCTCACGTTACACCCTGCTTTCTCAGTTTGTAAATGTTTTGTGGGTATGGATTGCACGATTGCAGAGCTGTAGTTCTTTTTTTTTGGCCCGCGTTCTTTGGTCTGAAGGAGGCAGTTGAAGTGCGAGTCACTGAGAGATTAACCCTGTGTCGCTGTAAGAAAAAAAAAAAAAGACCCTAAAGAGGAAGCATGAGTCACGCATGTCATTCTGTGGTCATATCTCTCTCTCTCTCCTCCATCCTTTCACCCCGTTTTTAGCCACCATACCTTTGTAGTGAAATCCTGTCACTTGAAATCTGTCTGTAACTGCGGATGTTAGCAGTTCCACCGCAGTGTCGATCAACATTTAACCTCATTAAACTCAAAGAATGCTTTGGCAGGTCGTGACTACACAGAGGCTTGTGCAAAAGTTTGGGTGCCCCTGGTCAAACTACATGTTTTGTTGATTTTCTAAGTGTAAATAAGTGAATGCATCCTTTACAGAGAGCACAGTTCTGCACATTTTAATGCATGATTAATATTGATTTGCTTAATTTTAACATACTGGACGAAATAAATCATAGCTTGTGCATTTTGTGTTTTATTTTTTCTGATATGTTAAACTCAGCAATTAAATATTTTAATAGCAATTAAAGAAATTATGCACTAAAATCTGCAGAAAAAAGCAATATATAGGTTCCCTGTAGAGGATTTGTTTAATTATTTATGTAATTCGATGGGGGTATCCAAACACATACAACTGTACCTTACTTTATATTATAAAACGGATAGTTCTGGTCCTAAAATCTGATTGGCTGAGCCACATTCGAAGCCGTTGTAAAATCCACGACATACCACGGCTCTGACCGCCTCACAGCAACTGAACTCTATCACTGCGCCACGTCTCGAAAAACCCTTCTGCTGTTAATGGATTAATCTTTGACTCTAACGCTGATCGCATGGAGCACTGAGTGTACTGATTAAGTAAGAACCCAGTTTTGAGGGGCTGACAACATATTTTCTTATCTAGAACTAGGCTGGTCAGCTAGCCGACAGGCTAAAAGATAGCAAACACGCTAAAGAACTCCAACATTAATATCACAGGCTTGTATTAAAGTACTTACGATATGATTCACTGGAAAACGGCAATATAAAAGTCTACAGAATGTCACCTGAATGTCTTACACACTTCAAATGTCCATGTTTCAGTCAGAAGTAGCCTCAAACCCAGGCTGAGTCCCAAACGGCTCCGTACTCCCTAGCTAAATAGTGAGCTGTGCAACATTAAGTTTAGAAATTCTAGCTTCTGCTGCCAAATAGTGCCCTGCCTGTCGAATGTGAATGTGGATGAATCCCAAATGACCATTTTTTAGTGATATTTTGCCTCCTGCAGGAGTCAGTATTTAAATTCCTATGTAGTGCACTATGTAGGGAGCAGGGAGCCATTTGAGATTCAGCCCCAGCGTGAGAAAAGTGGCGTCGTCAGACTGGCAGAAGACTCGAGGTGGTAATTTGGTGACCAAAAAGTACTTATAAACTGAAAGTATTTGCATTAAACAGTGCTGTGTTACATATGATTGGTTGTTCTGATAAGGACTCTTATTGTGAAGGCAGGGCTAGTTTTCGCTGGGAGGATGTGTGTGTACATCAGGAAGAACTGAGAGGCAGTCGAGAGCTGAGGGCTGAGAGAGTGAGACATGAGCTGAGTAGTGAGTGAGCTGTTAGAGAAGACTGTGCTCATGCATGGCGTGGCTGTGGCCTTCAACAGCTGGATAGTAAAGCACCACCACTCGATCGAAAGCTGTATCTCTTTTAATAGTGGTGAACGCTACGATATGGTAACTGAATAATGCAGTTTAGTGGGTTCATTTGAAGCCAGTCTGTCACGAGGCCAGTTACCGATCATTCCCTTTGTCTTCATAGATCCACATGCGGCCATGTTTTGGCCTTTGCTGTCTCGGTTTTTCCACAGAACATCTTCAGCAACTTCCCCTTCTTCTCCCTTCTTCTCTCGTCTGTTGCCCGTTTCCTCTTTTCGTGCCGAGCTCCCCTTCCTCCTCTCTTCTTCGGCCTGCTAAAGGAGAAGTAGGAGATCTTGGCCATGCCAGACACAGTTGTGCCTTTAGATCATAATCCATTCAGAGAACACGTTCTTCAGCCGGGGCTATCTAGCACTACAGCTACATTTTCACCTAGACCTGGGACAACGTGAGTACAGCTGAATTCAGCGTGTTTTGTTTCTTAGATACGACTTTCTGAGATCTAAAAGGTTATTTAAGACCGTTCTTTGATTGAGTTTGTTCCAGCGTGGTGTACTAAACCGAAGTCAGATCATTGGGTCGTGGTTGTACCTGTTGATTTACATCCTAAAATAAGTGGATTATTATTATTATTTTTCATTCATTTTTGGTTTGGAGATCTTTTAGGCAGCATTTTGTCAGTCCCTCTTGTGTGAAAGCATGTGGAGGCCAAATTAGTGAAGTGTTACTTTCACAAAGCACTGTTGCTGGTTTGTTGGATCTGTTTGGTTTGTAAGGTTTTTTGAGGTCCTGTTTAAAGGTTAGAGGTTAGATGTGATTTTGTTTGAAGAACTACCTACAGAATTTTGTGTGTTGAAGATTATCTGGCCGTAATAGAGTAAACTGTTCACTACAGACTGCCCAAAATTCTGTTTCATAAGAGCAACAGCCATCGATTTGGTTCAAAAACACTAGATCTACCCTTTAGCTGGATTAAAGCCCAACGATTGGCTGATAATATTCAGTGTTGGCAACGTGTGGATTGATCTGTATCGGTATCAATATTGAAAGTTCTTATTGAAATTTTGAGTTTTTGCTTGGATTCAAACTCACAACCTACTTAAAGCCAATCAAAAGCCCTGTTAGAGTTACCAGGAGTTTAAATATATCACAGTCTTACAGGATGAACAGGTAAATTTGTTCACAAAATATGTTTAAGTCATGATTAGAATAACAAAATAATGTAAAATGTTTTCAAGCCTTATTGTATTGATTGATTACAACATTCTATAACATGACAGAACTATTTTTGAGAGATAAAAATAATAAAAATAAGAAATCATCAGCTGAAACCAAAAGCAAAGAATTATGGGTAACCCTGCTGCAAGTACTACAATATTTATTTTATTTAAGACTGTATGTTTCTGGTGTTGTCTGCGCTGTGATGGACTGGTGACCTGTCCAGGGTGTTTCCTGCCTTCTGCCTAGTGACCGCTGGGATAGGCTTCAGCACCTTCTGTGTGTGTGTGTGTGTGTGTGTGTGTGTTTCTTGTGTTTCCTTAAGAAATGTGACGCTTGAGAACTGACAATCACATCAGTGAATAAAGTTAGAATGAAATGAAGTTAGATAAAAAGATATGAGATATAAAAGATAAATATAACATAAAATCACATCAGTCAGTATTATTGGTTATCAGACGTTTTAGCCCCTAAAAAATAGCTATTTCACAAAATACTGACCTAGATTATACCTTAATTAGAACTTTGCACTTAAAACTTTTCTAAATTTAAATGAAAGGTAAGAGATTTAGGATGCGGGATGCGACACTGTAACGGAAGTGAAGGGTCACTGTGGTCATTGAACCTGGAACATCCGTTTTGTTTCTACAGCGATACGTGCAACACTTCCTGTGTGGTAACAGAACATGTGGCAGGCAGTGCATGTACTAAGGAGAGCCAGCGTGCTAAGAAAACAGCTCCATAACCAGTTATAAATAACTTTCAAGCAAAAGAACCTCAGTTCCAGCTGTTTTTCTAGCTGTCTGTAATACAGTGTGACAAATACAGTGTATTTGCCTGCTTAACGCTGCATGTGCACAGTGTAAGAGCTGACTAAGCAAGTTGTTACACAGTACAAGTAGCAAGTTTTTACATGTGCACCATCAATTCACATCTGCAATAGAGTATTTTTCATGTTTACCTTCATAGGTACCTTCTCATGTTGCGTTTAGGGATGTTTATCACCCGATCACAAAAATATCCGTGTTATTAAATTAATCCGAGGGATAGAAAAGGCCCCCCGAATGGCATGTGGGTGTTATTAGCTATTTGTCTCTTTTATTTTGGTGGTATTTTTACAAAAGGCACAAGAGACGGCGCGTGGGCAGAGCTTTCAGAAAGCTGCTTTCCAAGCAACATGTGACAAATGTTGGTCAGTGACTGCTCATTAGATGATTGAAATCTATTTTTGGTCTCCGACTGCTCTTTTAGTATTAAAGCCCCCCCCCTCCTCTCCGCACCTTTACATTTTTAATGGCATGGAAAATGTGGTATGGATGTAAAGATGTATTTCTGATACAAATGTGATATTCTCAGTGAAGTGAGAATTTTCTGCTGTGGAAAATATGAGGTCCTGAATATTCTCGTTATTTGAAGATGAATTAACGTTGAAATCGAAATCCATATTCTGACACTGCGCATGTGAATATGAGGATGTTCTCAAGTTTAAAGACCTTTATGTTATTAAGTGTGTAAGATATTTATATGTGTATATTAGGGTTGTTACGATTACTCGATTGAACCTTTAGAAAAAAAGTCATAAATCGGCAGTGATTAGCTGGCGTATTGCATTTTAATGCATATTTTATTCATATTCTGTTCATACTCTGTTCTCCTACATTAAGAAACTGCTTGATGGATTATGTCTTTTCCAGTTAGGTACAGGGTGATTCAGAAAGATTCATCTGATTTCAAAATGATTCATTTCACTTGTAAATCATTACAGAACAATGCAGTAAACTGTAAATGGTTTAAATGAGCATAAAGTTTATGGTGTAATTGTACAAGGTCTCAGTATGAACCTCCTCCAGCTGTACAGACAACATCAACGCCATAGTCAAACTCATCCCATACTGGATTGAGCATGTCGGGTGTCGCTGCACTCACGGCTCTTTCAGTGCGATTTCGGAGATCATCCAGTGTTGTGGAACCAACGACGAACGCTCTGAGCTGTTGGAGCTTCACTGCCCATGAAAATCATGATACACAGTTATGACGGATTCACTCTTATTGAAGTGGAGAACGCAGAACGCTTTCTGCTCAGGGGTCTCATCTCCTCTCAGACTGAAGGGAGCCATCTTCCGGTGACAGTCAGAAACTCTATGACCACCTCTTTCAATTGGATTGTGATTGGTTCCTAGGCGCCTCACGGTTGTTAAAATATGGTGCTTTGAAATCAGATGAATCTTTTTGTATCACCCTGTATTTTGAAGTCTTTGAAAGGTTATTCATGGTTTGTTCTTCAGTTAAGCCTATTTTTATTGTTTGGCCTTAGGATTAGTCTTAGTGACAACCCTAGTAGACATGTAGTACTGCACAGAAGTCAGAGACCATCCTTCATGTACTTTATTTCCAGTCAAAACAGCCATTTAGTACAACTTACTCATTTTTCAGCATCAGGAAAAAAAAATATATATCATATATTTTAGCAGAAAATGACACAGAAGCCTCAACAGCTAAATATCAACTTTTTGAGTATTTCTCATGTCCACCTTTTACTTTTATTACAGCTTCCAGTCTTTTCAGAAGACTTTCTTTCAGTTTTTCAAAGAAATCTGCAGGTTTTTTTTTCCACACTTCTAAAGTTCAGTCTTAGAAGTTGGTCGCATTTTCTGCTTCTAGACTCAGGTTGTCTGTAAAACCGTACTCCACGTCTCAGATATCTGGTTTGGGTGTTCTTTTTTATCTATTCCCTTTTCTCAGTGAGGTTCTTCTTGACAGCTACACATCCTTTCCGACCCATAGTGCTGAGTCATCTGCTCACGGTGGAAGGATGGACAGAAACACCTGTGGATGTTTTCAGATCTGAAGTGAGAGTGGAGCTTGATTTTCTCCTCTCTCTCAAAGACAAAAGCTTTAAGTACTGCTTATCTGATGGTGACAGTTTTGGTGTTCTGCCAGGTCTTACACGTTTATTTGGAGTCTCTGTATCTTTTAATCATTTTTTAAATACTCCAGTATTGGTAACTCCTCTCTTACTTTCCTTCCGTATGTAAGTACATTATCTTATGTCTAACATCTTCAGAAATATCTCCTGAAAGTAGTATATAATAGGTTGTTTGGCTGTTTTGACAAGGAATTAAATATTAAATAGGTGGTCTCTGACTTTTGCACTGTACTGTAAATGAATAAATGTCATTCTTACAGCAAAATTTAGTGAATGAAATGAACATGAGCTGTGACCTCACTGCTTTTGAAATAACTAATATAAAGTACCGGCGTTTCTTTGTCTTTCTCTTCCTCTTTGTTTGTGTACGTGTGTGTTCTTGTACACTTATGCTTTTCCTGGTGTGTGTCTGTGTGTGTGTGTTTGTGAAGGAGAGGTCCGCGGCCTGCGGGGGGATGACATGCATGTGTCCAGGCTTTTAACATCGTTGAGGATTGTAAGACTAGTTGGCTGCCCTCCGCCGAGCCATGATGGACATTCTGGTAACTCTCCGCTCTTATTCTCGCTGGTGTTGGTGCTGTGTTTGTGGTGTGCTGCCTTGTGCGAGGTGTTAAATAGTGTTGGTTAGGTTGTTTGTCTGTGTGTCCAGTGGTGGCGGTTTGGGAAATCTCAGTAGAGCTAGTCAAGATTTGTACAGGTCATGCTGATGTCACATGACACATACATATATATATACACACACACAGTTTGCAATATGTATAATATGTATAAAGGGATGTAAGGGGTGTAATATACACCAAACGGCCACTTCGTGAAGTACACCTCCTTGTTTCTACGCTCATTGTCCATTTTATCAGCTCCACTGACCATATAGGTGCACTTTGTAGTTCTACAGTTACAGACTGTAGTCCATCTGCTTCTCTGCATACTTTGTTAGCCCCCTTTACCCTGTTGTTTAATGATCAGGACCCCCACAGGACCACCACAGGGCAGGTATTATTTGGGTGGTGGATCATTCTCAGCATTGCAGTGACATTAACATGGTGGTGGTGTGTTAGTGTGTGTTGTGCTGGTCTGAGTGGATCAGACACAGCAGTGCTGCTGGAGTTTTTAAACACCTCAGTGTCACTGCTGGACTGAGAATAGTCCACCAACCAAAAATATCCAGCCAACAGCGTCCTGTGGGCAGCGTCCTGTGACCACTGATGAAGGACTAGAGGATGACCAACACAAACTGTGCAGAAACAAATGGGCTGTTGTCTCTGACTTTACATCTACAAGGTGGGGCAACAAAGTAGGAGTGTCTAAGGCTGCGTTTACACAGCAGGTAAAAGTGGCCCAAATCCGATCTTTTCATATGTGACACAGATGTGTGTCAGTGTGAACAGATAAACACACTGAATCTGACATTTTCAATTCCAATTTGAGACAAAAAAAAATGGATTTGGTGAGAAAATCAGATTTGGGCCACTTTTACCAGCTGTGTGAACGTAGCCTTGTAGAGTGGACAGTAAGTGGACACAAAGACTCCAGAAGCACTGCTGTGTCTGATTCACCAATTACATGTGGGCAATATGACAATATAAGCGAACATATTGTGAATATCATTCAAGTACTTAAAGAAAACTGAATGTTTCATCCAATACAGCATAATAAGTCCTATTTAATGCAACAGATTATGTAAAACATCAAACAAAAATCACTGGGGTTATAATTTTTCTTAGTATTTTTAAATCTGGCCCTACTGCCACATTTCAAATCAAATCTCAGAAAAACTGAATTTCTGATTCATGATCATGAAAATGTCTTTAAGTATGTTGATATTATATTTTTGCCGTATCCCCTTCCCCTAACGTTAGTGTCTCCGCAGTGCTGAGAATGATCCACCACCCAAACAATACTTACTCTGTGGTGGTCCTGTGGGGGGACATTGAAGAACAGGGTAACAGAAGGCTAACAAAGTATGCAAAGTAATTGTAGAACTACAATTTACACCTAGGAGCTGATAAAACGGACAGAGAGTGTAGATACGAGGAGGTCTACTTAATGAAGTGGCCAGTCGCTGTACGCCCACGTTCAGTTTCCATTGATAACAGCCGATCTTGGGCAGGTTTCCAAGAGAGAGTGCTCTGTTCAGTGAGAGTGATGGATCTGTTTCTCCTTTTCTGTTAATGGAGAGCTTGATTGGCCAATCATGCACAGTTAGCACTGTCCTTAAAGCATGTTTTGCTGCCCTATGATGTCACGTGAGCAAATCACAAACATGTGGACTTGGGCTACACGTGTCTTGGAGGCCGTAAGCCTCTAGTGTCTTAAATCAGAAATGATATTTATTCGTTTGCTCATGGTTTTGCTGCTTGAGATGGAGCAATACCACTTTGCCTTTTCTGATACTGATATCGAAACCTTCAGTATCAGCCGATACCGATACCGATCTGATATTTACGCTTGATTTGAAAGTTAGTTTTTTTAAACACTTTGTTTAAGATGAGCATCTAAAAGTAGGCTATGGTGCTCAGATGGCTCAAACACTCTACTACTCACAGAAAGACATACACAGCTAGGCACAGGCTAGATTTGTTACACGACTGGAATGAATTCATTCTTTTTGTCCCTCTGATATCTAATCCAGCATTTTCTGCTGATATCATCCTGATACCCATTGAGCCTTTTACACCTTGCATTAAAATTTCCTGTTTCCAGCTCGGCAGACAGATTTCTGCTCATCTATTTGTACACAGATAACAGAAACACATCCTGTTTACGCTTATGTTATGTTAAATGTGGTCTTTGACCACCTCTGAATGTGTCAAGTGAAATCCAGACGTGTTTTGATCACCCAAAATGTCTGTAAATTTAAAGTGTAAACAGTCCCATAGATACTGATATACTGTCTCTACTTCCCAGTAACTTAGCTGATGATTCTAGAAGCAAACTGGGGATCCATGTGTTGCATAATATTAGATACACCATGTCTGATTCAGTTTGTTGCTGGAAATTTGCTGCTGATTGGTTGTGAGGTGTTGTTTTTGTATTGAGTGGGATTTTTGGCATTGACCAACATTTGAAGTCAGCCTGAAATCTAAATCATTCATACATAAATTCATAAATTCACTGTTTTTTTTCAGATAAAAATAACGAACATGAAATGAATAATAAAAAAAGAACAATTGTTGTTCCCGATTTCATGTATGTGGTGCTCTGAACTTCAGCTTTTTTTTTGGAAGCATAAAACTGTGAACAGAGCTTCGGGGCATGATAACCATCACATGCACTCCTCTTTTTTCTTCTTATTTAAAGGGCCCGTATTCTACATTTTTCCTATTTCAAAGGTCTTTTTTTATATTGTTTTTGTGGTTTTATGCATCAAAAACATTCACAGTTCTTTTTTTACGTGACCATTTTTGTTACTGTGCCTTTTAAGCCTGATATATGTAAATGACCTCTGTCCACTATTAAAAGCAGTCCAGGGCGAAATGCTCCTTATAACTCCTTATAACTCCTTATAACACTGTGAATGCACAGGGCAAAGCTGCTGTAGGCGGATATGCATTGATTTTTTCACATCACAAAAACAGTGAAAACGCAACAGGCCAAGTTTTTGCATAGATTTTTGTGACATCACAAAAACAGGCTAAGTTTCCGTATGTGGAGGATGTGGGATGAGAGGTGAACATTATGTTTTGAATATGAATGGGCGGGGCAAAGCTGCTGTATCCAGACAGCGAGCATGTATCAGCCCGCTGGCTTGATAAGGTCTGCACCACGCTGATTGTTTGCCACTGCTGGTCCACCTACAGACCACCCAGATTACTGTCCTGCATACAAGCTCTAACTAGTTTTTAATCTCCTCAAACAGATTTTAAATGCACAGAGACTTTTATTACTAAACTAATTTGCAAAGTATAACTAAAGAAAGGAAGGAAGGAAAAACGAGTAAACTGGACTGTGAGTGGACAATGAGCATTAATAAGTGGAATTTTGTCTATTACTCTGCTTAAACACCGGTGGGCCGCCCAGAAAACACTGAGCAAAACGTGAGTATACCGCCAGCTTTGCCATCAGTGGGCCGATAGTGGTCCACTGTCCTCTTGCTATCAGGTTAGGTGGATATGCACTGATTTTTATGACATCACAAAAACAGTAAAAACATAACAGGCCATTTTTGCAGTTAAGTTTCCATATGTGTGAGGATTTGTGTTTCCCTTGATATGGACCCTTCAGTCATTTAGCTGGTTAGGGCTGGTGGGTTGGTTGTTGTGGATCTCTCCCCTTTATTATGGTCACAACTAATCGTGGAGGGAAGGCAAAGGTTGCCACTTAATTTGTGTATATATGAGAATATATACACCATATTCATATTCTAAGACATGTTCTGTGCAGCATTTAAAAGTGCACAGATGTGCTTATAGCTGACCAGTGCTGGACTTTGCGATATGTCACAGTAGATGGTTCACTGTTCACTCTCTGGAGAGCGAGGATGTTTGGTGTCTCAGTGAAACTGCAACCAAATGCAGTTCTGAGAAATGCTCAGCTGTTGCTGTAGCATCCGCACCGCTGGTACTCAAGCTTGTTTTTCTGTAGTAAGATAGTGAATAGGATGTGAGAGAGAGAGAGAGAGAGAGAGAGAGATAGGCAGGCAGAAGAGTGTAGGGAGGGAGAGGGAGTGTGGAGTAAGACTTTGCATTAGTCACATGATTCATGTCCAGCCAGGCTTGGCATCTGGATAAAGTTAGAGAAAAGCAAGATTTAGATCTAAAAACAGACAAGCAGGCAGACATTCATGTGTGTGTGTGTGTGTGGGTGTGGGTGTGTGTGTGGAACCTGTAGGCCAGCTGAGTGAATCCAGCACACACATCTCTCAGGCAGTCTGCTCAGTTTGCATATTTTGTGTAAGATCCATTCCAGCTCTATAGGCTAAAACAGACCTCCTACTGTTTATATATAAACCTTGACATCATTTTATGCTCTCTCTCTCTCTCTCTCTCTCTCTCTCTCTCTCTCTCTCTCTCTCCCCCCCCTTCTCTTTATTATGTTATCCTCGAGGGAGACACTAGTTTCTCATGACTGATGCCAGGTTATAGATGTCAGTGTTTTGGTTACTATGTTTGTACTCACCGTTGATTTTGGTCTTTTCTTGCCTTTTCTATAAAAGGAGCTCACTTGACTGATGAGAGTTTTTCACTTAAATGGCAGAGTTCTTTGATTTATAGGAACCTTGTTTTTGTTTCACGTAGTTGCCCCGTTGGATGTACTGTAAATCTCTTAACCCCTTGTGTGGTGTTGGGGTCTGTGGGAACCATTTTCACAGTTTAATAAAATAAAAAATTATGCGATTTAATAATGATTTCAACCTCAGATTCTTGTCCTTTGCTCATTTTCTGTGAAGAACATATAAAATTACCCATTTTCAGTGTCTTCACTCTGTTCACCCCACACATCTATATTACACATGTGGTGTTGGGTGAACCTGCGGGGAATAAAAGTGTGGAGGTGCTGTGTCCTTCACTCTGTTCTCCTCCTACATGACCTGCTGTTAGTG